GCCACGCCCGCAGGGCAGGCACCGAGCACCGCCAAAGGGCTGGGGAAGCCGCTCGTAGAACAGCGCTCATCCCAAAAAAAAAGAGCTCCGGGAGCATCCCACGCTGATCCGGGAACAAATTCAACCAGGGGGAAAAAAAGGCAGTGAGCAATGCCCGAGCAGTCGGGCCGGGCCGTGCCTCTGTGACATGGCGGCAAACCCCACTCGAGGGAGGGAGGCCAGTCACGCTCGTCGCTGTGACTGGCAAACACAGTTTGTTCACCATCCTGCTTAACAAAATGGTATAAACATCACCCCCGAGCACAGAAAGTTCCTCCTGGAAATTGACTGCACTCGGATTGCCCGGAAAGGCCGACGTCAGCCAGGCGAGCATCCGCTCCGCTGCTATGGCAGTGGGCAGACACCTACGAAGCAAGCAGGCTCAGGGTTTATAGTGTCACAGGGTTCAGGAGGACTCAGAGCAGCAGACTCAACGTCCACTGGCCCACAGACAACAGCAAACAAGGAACGTGCTGCCAGCAGCAGTCAATTCTGCTTTCCCACAGAACTATGTGGGCAGCACATAGGCTTGGGCCCCTCCAGTTCACAGGGAAGTTTTACTAAGTGGGACAGTGCCCTTACTTAAAGGTTGAGACTGAACTTAAATTTGAAGTATCATCTTATCTGCGTTATCTGGAGTAACGGAGTACAAGGGGATCCAGGGCTCACCTTTTCACGGGCAATGTGGATTCCACCGTGGGGAGCATGGGGCAGATACATCTGCCACGAATAACTAGTTAAAGTGTGGAATAGCTCAGCACCGCAGCCTTCAGATCTTCACATAGGGGCAACGCAGAGCCAAGGTAAGGAGCTTTCCCAGCACAACAGGGAGGGGAGGTGGAAGGACAAGGCACAGCCAGCCACCACTGCCACCAGACCTGTGAGGAGTCAGCTCAGGGGCCTGAAGCTGGGCAGACTCCCGCTGGCTGCATCCCCTGCACCCTCTTCCCCAGCACTGCTATTTCTAGGAGTGCTCTGCCCCAATGTCCCTTTACGTGCCACGAGCACCAAGTTTCTCTGCTCAGTTCCATATAAAGGCAGCTGTTTGGCTCCTGGATCACAGCTGGCCCTGAAAGCAATACAGTACCATTTGCCCACTATTGTGCCCGAGCTTAGGAAGCTGGACACAGCCAGTCTCAGCAACCGACATCACAGACAATGTCTGACACGGTCCCGAAAAGCAGTCCAAAAGGAAGCTTCTTTCTGTGGACCTTTCAACCTGAACCCAGCCCTTGCATTACTTGGAGAACACAATTTCCTGAGGTTGGTCAGGCGGAGAACATAGGCTGCATCTCAAACCTACCCCACCCACCTCCCCTTCCGACGTCTGCTTCCCCACCTCTGGCATACCCTGTTCAACCACACACCACTGAAGTTGTAGGCCATTATGCTCTCCCAATTCTGATTCCTCCTAAAAACTTTTCTTAGGCAAAGATGTAGAAACTAATCCTTTTATTGAACGTGCCCAAGGCACCAATAGTTCATTATATATCTCTCCTACTCTATTACATGCGAATCCATTTTGTAGACCCCAGTGTCATTGGGCCAGGGACTGCGCTTTGTGTCTTGCTCTTGGGGAACCGGGAAAGGCAGAAACAGGGAAAAGAGAGCATAAGCAGTACAAAAGAAGAAGGATTTTCATGTTCTCATTTTAATGATTAGAGACCAAACTAACACCACCAGAGCAGTAAGGGTGAAGGACCATTTCCCAAACACATTGCAGATGTTCTGTGAAATAAATCAACCTTCTTTTGGAGAAAAACAAGGTATTTCAACATTTAAACTAGTTGCTTGTAATTCTTAAACAGGAAGAGAAACTCTTGATGAACTTCAACTTTTTCATGTTCCACCATTTTCTTTCATTCAGGGCCAAGGAACAGCTACTGCATGAAAGGTTATAAACAGGATTGCCAGAGACCTTTCTTAGCTTTCATACAAAGTTGCGGGCAATGGCCAATACTTTGGAGAACTCTCCTTCTCTCCGTCGCAGGATATAGGGTATTGGTGTTTTTATTCTAGTCCCTATCGGATTTCCGTTGTCTTCTATCAGTACCACATTGTTGGAATCAAATCTAGGTGTCATGGGGGGGCCAGGCATCTTGTGCCCTACAATTAAAGCCTTCTTCTTTTCTCCTTTGATAGCCAGAAGGATCGTATCTCCTACTTTGCCAACTCCGGTCTTGTTATACACGTGGATACATTTTGGTGGCCGGTGGTACGGCGTGTTCCCCAAGGTGCTGTTGTCCACCACTCGCACGCGGGTGAGTTTCTGTATTGCTCGGCATGCCAGAGTGATACTAGCAAAAGACAGGAAAGAATGAGAGACAGCTCTCCTCAATAATCCTTGGGGAGCAAGGGCAAACCCAGTACAGGATCTTGTCATTACACAAACCACTTGGAAGGCTCCAGCAACAAATACATACCATATGGGTGACGCATTGACTGCATTCAATGTGCTCTTTGAAAGCCAGATGCTACTTTGGGCTTTGCACACTCTTCACTAAATGTCAAACATAAAATGACCGTTCTACTCTGAAACACGACTAAAAGATGGCGTGAAGAGTGGCTTGCATTTACTGAGCTTTTTAGCAACTGCAGATGATTCCATTCAACTTCAATTTACAAGCCAAAAGATGTGCTTGCTTCTGCCACAAACAGCCTACAGGAAGTTAAGACTCAAGTCAGTCTCTTTCAATCTTGTACACAGTCCCCAGGGACTTTTCTGGGGACTTTTCTGACCAGTCTTCTTTTCAGTGAAGTCTGTGAGGGTCTCCCATCTTATTCTGCTCTCGGTGAGACCTCTGAGGTCCTGCTGTGGCTGTGCTAAGCTGCCACCAACTAGATTCTAACAGATCATCACTTTCCCCATGTGGGAGTAACCCAGAGAGACACAGTCTCTTCTGTATCTGTTTGCTCTGTGGGATTATCAGGAGTAAGAAACAACAGAAATAAACTGCATGATACTAAGTTGTTAGATTTGACTCTGAATATGTGCAGGAATACACTGAGAAATAATTCAACCTCCTTTTCAGGAATGGCTATTCTTTTATCCAGTAAGCTCAAATTCAAGCGATTTGCTGCTTCTCTTCAAAGGACGCCCAAGCATGGACCATCGGAAAAGCAGGAAGACTCTTTCTACTGCTAAACAACTGCTTTGCAGTAAGGTACTAGAAACAGGCTGGCCAGACAGCTGCAGGGATGCCCAGCTGCTGTCAGGCGAACTACT